GTGGGACTTGTCGGGAGTGACAGGTGCTGAGCACAAAGAACAAAACCGTGGCCACACTTCAGATTTTCTACAGCACAGCTTTGTATCTTCCTTTCTGGCAGGGAGAGCGAGTGGAGAGTTCTCTACATAGGATAGATGGGAAATACTCCATCTAGAAAGTTTTAATAGCTGGGATACCGTGAGCTATACTCCTGTCTTAGTCTTTCTTACAAAAGGATGAATAGGCTTTTCACAAAACCCAGTTCTTTATGAGATGGAAGAAGTGTGTGTGTGAAAAACTTTCCATGGCCAGTGGGACTTAGGAAATGTTCAGCGAAGCAGGCTTCCCAATTCTGTTATTTCTCAGTGCCTGTGAGAGACTAGTGTACATGCAAATCCTCCAGTAGGGAAATAGGCCCTGACTTAATCGTATGTCTTCTCTCTCCACCCAGTAAGCTTTCTTAGGTTCATATCTAGTGGGTTATGCATTGAAAACAATTGATACTTTCGCTCTTATCTATTTTCCTCAAGTCTCTGACTTTCTCTTGCTGGGAGCATTTAAAATGTTTGTGTGTATGTACAGTGCCCTGTGGGAGTGTGGCTGCATATGTGCCAAACCTTGCATGTGCATGTCAGAGTTGATCCTCTGTTTCTATCTTGTTTGGAACATACTCTCTTCATTACCCACCTCTATGCAAGCCAAATTATCCAGGCTGTTCTCTTCTGGAGACTATGTCAGGCTTTTTATGGGTTCTGGAGATTGGAATTAGGTCTTCATGTTTGGATAGTTAGAGCTTTACCTACTGAGTTATCTCCCCAGTTCTATTCTGTTTTTATTTAAATTTTAAAGAATAAAGAATGTTAAACTTTTCAAATGTCCTCACTTGATGTTAGCCAAGAACTATCACATGCTATGAGTAGTAAGGTCAATTCTGTTCTGGTAAGAAGGCATGAGCTAATGATAATGTATAATGGAAATTTAGGCTGTAGCAACCTAATGAAAGATAGTGGTCTGAATGAACTGTTTGTCTGTCTGTCCATCACCAGCACATCTACTGTCATCCATCTATCTGTTTATCTATCATCTGTCTATCATCTACCATTGATCAGTGACCTACCTATGGTCTTGCTATGTAACACAAATAGGACTTCACCTGAATCCAAAGTCTCCTCCCTGGGATTATAGGCCTGCATCAATACACCCATTTAACTGATATTTAGATACCTTTCACTCTAATTAATTAGCTTAATTAATTAGTTACAGGGTTTTTCTTTTTTTTTATTTTTTAAATTTATTTATTTATTAAGGATTTCTGCCTCGTCCCCACAACCGCTTCCCATTTCCCTCCCCCTCCCCCGATCAAGTCCCCCCCCCTCATCTGCTCGAAGAGCAATCAGGGTTCCCTGACCTGTGGGAAGCCCAAGGACTGCCCACCTCTATCCAGGTCTCGTAAGGTGAGCATCCAAACTGCCTAGGCTCCCACAAAGCCAGTACGTGCAGTAGGATCAAAAACCCACTGCAATTGTTCTTGAATTCTCAGTATTCCTCATTGTCCGCTATGTTCAGCTAGTCCGGATTTATCCCATGCTTTTTCAGACCTAGGCCAGCTGGCCTTGGTGAGATCCCAATAGAACATCCCCATTGTCTTAGTGTGTGGGTGCACCCCTCGTGGTCCTGAGTTCCTTGCTCGTGCTCCGTCTCCTTCTGCTCCTGATTTGGACCTTGAGATTTCTGTCCGGTGCTCCCGTGTGGGTCTCTGTCTCTGTCTCCTTTCATCGCCTGATGAAGGTTAATATTCCTGAGGATGCCTAGAGCTGACACAGACAACAGTAGGTAGTTTATCACATAGGACATTTCTTTGGCTAAAGTTATAGTTGACACCTGTCAAATTATTTTGGTGTCTCATATCTTTATCACTTGCGTCATCATTGTTAAATAAACCATATACATCAATAATTTATTATTCTAAGTCTTCATTTTGATTAATACTGATATAGATATGTTATATTAGAATAGAAAATGAGAGGGAGACCAAATTAATGTGATGAAACAAGTATAAATAAATAAAAACTGTATAAGAAAAAACAAAATCAAATAGAAAACATATGTTTTGTGATATTGAGTTTGAATTGCAAATTACATAACAATATTAGTATTTATGTCAGACCTTTTAAATGCCAAGATGTTAAGTGTAAAATTTTAGGTATTTAAAAAATTTCTGAAATTGTTTCACAGGAAGATACTTCATGCTGTCCTTGTATCTCCTCTACATTTTTGAATTTTAGAGAAAGAAGCCAGAAGTTGTTTCTCTGTGCTATGGCTATTAAAACACAGGGTTGCTTTTTCCTCTAAGCATTCTGACCATCTTCCTTCTTTTCACACTCTGGTCTTGTTGGGTGCCTTGCTCTGTTTGGGAAGACACTCGTCTCTGAACCTCTGCTTGTAAAGTGTTTCCTCACTGGGGTCTGTAGAGATTAAAATACTGATCATGTCTGTTGGGAACACACCCCCATGCAGCTCCTTTTCCCTGTGGAATACATTTAGGAATCTGACTTTGTTCTGCCTCTTTTATACCCTTTCAACTGAATTTCTGAAGTTGGAAATAAAGGTGGCTCCCACCCATACCGCACTTCTCTCCTGGGCAGGTCTTTTGTTCTTAACTCATGGGGAGAGAGACTGTTTTGGTTTTTCCCTTTGTGAAATTATATGGTAGAAACTTCTGTGCTTTTGTGTAGTTAATGACAGTATAAAAGTCTTAAATGAATTTACTTTTACTATGGTTAGTGACAGTTTAAAAGTCTGAGATGAATTTACTTTTAAGATGTTAGATCTAAAAGAAAAAAATACAATAAAACCAATTGTAATTATTCCAAGAGAGTTACTTTCAAATTACTTTTTAAGACAAACAAGACATTCTACTAAACAGAGAAAGTCTTTCTTTTAAAACATCTCTAATAAAGACGTTTTTAGAAGTTCAGACACAAGAGCCTGCAGCTTCAAAAGCTTAATCTGCGTGCCATTCTCATGGCCAGATCCTTTCTTCAGAAACAGTCCCAAGCTCTAAGTACCCTGTATGTACTTAACCAATGTGTTATTTGCTCCTACAAAACTCGGCCTGTTCCTCCTGGCGACAAATAACCATCCTCTTGTCACCTGCTTTCCACAGCATGTGACATTAGCACCACACAACTGCTCTCTGGGTCTGCTGTGAGCCTTGCACATTCAAAGTCCTCAGCGGTATAAAGAACCTGGTGCCTTTAGAAAGAACTAGTCAGCAGTGATTAGCTTTAAAGACGTTAGACCTATGTGTGGCAATCAAGGGGGAGATTTCAAACTTACTTGCTTAAACATGGTATGCATTTTATGTAGATATATGGAAAAAATTCAGGTGTCTTCAAATTATGTCACTTTTGTAAGATGCACAAGAAATTTAATGAGATTTAAAGACCTGGTGGCAGCTTTCAAGTTTCATTTTTTAAATATGTTCATTTTATATTTTGTGTATGTTATCATAAATCTCATAAATTAGGTATACAGAAACACAATTTTCCAAATGAGAAAATACTAAGATTTTCTTTTTTAAAATCTGGAAATTGCAGCTTGATTTTTATAAATAAATTTTTTCCTTGCATATAATCCAAAAGTTATGAAATCTGCCTCCAACTTGCTCAGTGCTGTCATTTTGATATGTTCACAGAGTTGTGCAACACTCACTGAGTCTAGAACATTTTAATTAATACCCCAAAGAGACTCGATACTCACTAGCGTTCACGCACATTTGTAAACTTACTACATTTTATTTTCATAGAGACTGAGGATGTCTCTGGGGTCAAAATGCTTGCCATGAGAGTATGAGGACCAGATCAAAGGAACAATGGAAAAAATAAGAAACAAACAAAAAAGACTCTTTAGACTTAAGCTGGGTAAATGTAGCCTGCCTTCCTGTTATCCTAGAACTGCAGGAGACAGAAAAAAGTAACCATTAGGTGTATGCTAGGTAGATTAGACAGATCGACAAGTTCTGGGTTCCTCATCATGCAGACATTAATATATAGATTAACCATCACAAATAACTGTTTCCATTAGTGCCATACATATAATAGATTTCCTTTTCTTCTAACAAAATAATCAGCATTTCTTAATAGCATTGCAAAAATTTCTTGGTTGTTTTACTGTTTTTTTCTATGCAATTTTCTGCATCATCACAGGGTTGAATATTCTGTGTTTTGTGTTTCGTTGGATAGTGGGGAGGCCCAGTGTTAGTAACTCTAGAGCTGAGAGAATCTGACCTGGTTTCTTGCTACACATGTGGATCTTGTCTATAACCTTGATGGGTTTCAGAGGCTCCCTCGCCCTCCTTATGTGAGTCCATTTCTTGGTTATTTTATGTGGGATTCCCCTCTTCATGCTCTTCATGAATACCATTGGTTAATAAAGAAACTGTCTTGGGCCTGGCAGGGCAGAATAGAGGTAGGCAGGAAAAACTAAACTGAATGCTGGGAGAAAGATGGCAGAGTCAGAAAGACACCATGTGCCATGTAGCCACCAGAGGGGAAAGACGCCAGCTGCTAGCTGGACCTTGCCAATAGGCCACTAACCTCGCAGTAAAATATAAAATAATGGAAATGAGTTAATAATAGATGTAAGAGCTAGCTAGCAATACGCCTAAGTGATTGGTCAAGCAGTAATTTAAATAATATAGTTTCTGAGTGATTATTTTGGATTTGGACAGCTGGGAACAAGCAAGCAACCTCATTACTACAGTTATTCTTGGTTATGACAGCATTTCACTATCCTGAAGAGATTATGCCAGTTTGCCACATTAGGATTGTCCAAACTACAAAAATGTAATCTTTTAAATGACATAATTATTAAACTTAGGTTTGTGCAGTTTTATCAAAACTAAAAGTTATATTCATATAAAAAGCAAATCCACACATCAGTAAAAGTCTGGGTCAATATATAAGTGCTTAAGATAAGTTTTCACCCTTGAGGTAATCTGGTGGTACATTTTCTCAAGTCCTCACACAGGTGTTCAGGAATATCAAGATGGTGTGCCCAAGATCCCGACAGCCTGTATCACAGTGGAAGATGCAGAAATGATGTCACGAATGGCTTCTCGTGGGAACAAAATTGTTGTTCATCTGGAGATGGGAGCAAAGACCTACCCAGATGCTGATTCCTTCAACACTGTAGCAGAGATCACTGGGAGCAAGTATCCAGAGCAAGTGAGTGACACGGGAGGACTTCTGGTAGAGGACGTTCTGGTCTGGTGGTCATTTTTAGAATAGTTAGGAGAGAACATGAATCTGTTAGGATGGCCCTCATAGACTCATTAAAACCTGAAGCTTCATATATTTTCCCCATTAATTGTTCACCACACTAAAGAATGGAAGACAAACTCAAGGGCAGAATAAGACCCACAGCATGGAAAGTCAATCTGAATGGAAGAGAAAGTTGTGTGTATTCCCTTTAGAGCTAGAAATCATCCCAACAATTGATACTGTGTTAATTTTATGAATATTTTAAGAATCATTTCAAAGTACAATAATGTAGAATCTAGTTTCTTCATTACGAATCAAGGAAACTAACCTAGATAGAAACTTCTTGTCTAGGTCTGCACAGAGCTACAAAGTCTGCGAAAAAACGAAGCTCAGAGAAATACAAATTCAAACCAAGCTTTGATCCACAGTTCAAGTGAGGATTCCAAATTTCATGTATATTTCAAATGATTTTAGAAGCATATCTACACTAGCCAAATGTTAAGTAATGGGCTATTTGTTCCTGGACTTTAGAGAACTTATCTCCAAAGCAACTGGCCTGTCACTGATCTTTATAAAGATATGTGCCACTACCAAAATTAGTGTGAGAAGCAGATGAGACGTGTCTACCAGAGAGCTTGCATGTGTTGGGCACATCATAGGCACTCACAGAATTTACATATACTTAATATGATACAAAATATGCAAAATATTTTGTAGACATTCTGATATAAGTCTTTATTAGTGACAACTATAACTCTGAAAATGCAGCTTATTATTTGGAATTATTCATAATTCCAGTTATGGGGAGTGGAGGAAGCCCTGAGTAGTGAAGTCCTGAGTGTGTCTTTGTTTAGCATGGCCATGTTAGGGTCCCTTGACTTAGACCCAGGGAAGTGACAAAATCCCTTCCCTAGCTGGTGATTCTCAGGGGGTTGACAAAGCCTTTCTCTGATCCATGAGAGAGTGTTGATAGTATATGCAGAAAATGTCCACCATATCTGTCCTCTCTTAGATTTTTATGACCTGCTTCCTTACAGAGACTGCTCCTACTAAGATTAGCTAAACCTGTGTTCTTGCTCCAGCTTTTTGCCCTAAACCCTTTCTCCTTGTTTATCTGTGTGGAATAATCCACCTCCTTGTTCATCTATATGCAAAAACCCCACCTCCCTGTTCAACCCTATATAGCATAGGGAGCTTCCAAGATGTTTCATTTCCTCCATCATAGAACCTTATCTACCTGATTCCAGCTTTTCTGCATGTCTCTCTGTGTGTGTCCTTTCTTCATCTCCCCAGTCAGATCCATCTCTGGACATGGCAGGCCGATGCATCTTCCCTTCCTCTGAATGTCGCTTGTGGTCTGGTGATGTGTAACACCTTCTGCCTGGGTGGGAACACTTTCACCAATTTGAGCAGCTGTTTAAACTTTGATGAGCAGAGTCATTATGAAAAGTTTTATATTGGTTAGTACATTTGTTCATATCATAGCCTCCGGCTGGAAAATTTTAGGGGATGGGGTTAAGTTTTAAGCTGTCAAACCTGTTCTTTCTTTTCTTTCTTATTGTAAACTTTTTATGGCTGAGAACCAGCCAAACTAAGTCATGGGAGGAAAAAGATATGTGTGGCAAGCATGAAACATTTCATTGTTTATTTTCCAAATTTCTGAAACATGCTTGTGGCCCTGCATGCCTCTGGGCTCAGCTAAAAAGCAAACAGAAACAGCTCCAGCCAGACGACTTATTTTCAGTAGACTGCCACCCAGGTAGGCAAAGCAAACCCAGGTGACTAGGCATTCCTGGATTCAAGTCATCCTGGTTTACCAGATAGGACTCACAAGCATGGGACTGTGCTTGTTCATAGACTGTACACCTTGCCCTGATTAGTGATACAACAATTTGAAAATAACCATAGTTACTCATGAAGACTAATACACATTCCCGGTGTGCTTGGTGCTGGTAGGTGTCATTCTAGATTCTTTTCACATATTTATTATCTCCTTAATAAGTAAAGTTGTTATCCCCATATAACAGTCAAGGCAAACAAAGCTACAAGGAATCACAGAGTTTGTGATCTGGGCAGCAGACCTGGGATTCAGTTCACATCTATCCTATCCAATAACCTATGTTCTCAGCCATTCTTCACAGTGTACTTCTTAATCTCTTTCTGGTTGTAAAATACTTATACCTAAACAAGGCCCCTTTTTACGTGGAATAAAGGAAAATGGAAGCAACCGTCAGTGTTAGAAGTAGAAAATGCTTATTGAATACATGTGTATGTAAGGCATGAGATTAGGAGTCATTCTGAGCCAGAGAAGAGAAAAGATAAAAGGGTGTTTGCTAGTGGCTGGTGGGCACATTCAGAAGTGCCAGCATGGCTGTAATTGCATCATTGTACTGTAATTATTTATTGCTTACATGTCTACCTTTTTGCTACATTTCTGGGTACTCTGAACATATTTATTCTATGCTTTAAAACACTGAAAGGCTGTGTGCAGTGAATTCTGTGGGCAGTGAATTCCGGAATGAATTTAACCTCCCCTGTAGCCCTGTATGCTGGTTGGCTTGGTACTGACTGCTGCATATTTCTGTGGCTTACAGTTTACTCTCGTCTTTATTTTCCTCAATCCCAACAACAGGGTTGATTACTACAGTCCTCACTTTAAGGATGAAGAAGCCAAAGAAGATTCAGATGCGATTAACAACTAAAGTCAATGATATACCCCACAGTGTGACATAAAAGAACACAAAGTATGTGAAACTAGGAGTATCTTCAGCTGATAGTGTTTGTCTAGTATGTGTGAAGCCCTGGCCTTGATCCCCAGCATTGCATTAAAAATGGGAGTGGCGGCATTTGTAATTCCAGTGCTCAGGAGATAGAAACAGGAGCATCAGAAGTTCCAACTTGTTCTTGGCTACTTGACAATTTTAAGGTCAGTCTGGGATACAGAGGACCTTGTCCCAGAAGAAAACAGGGCATAATTGTAATTCTTGTATAACTTGACTTAGTCACTGCACACAGCCTTTCAGTGTCTCAAAGCATAGAATAAATATGTTCAGAATATCCAGAAATGCAGCTAAAATGTAGACATGTAAGCAATAAATAATTACAGTACAATGATGCAATTAGAGCCATGCTAGCACTTTTGAATGTGCCCACAGTGCTTTCTATCCCCGCCTGAGATGTGGAACTGAATTCCTCGCTTACATGTGAACACATGTTAGTGATTAACTTCCAATGAATGGTGGCCAAGACTCGAGCCAAAAGAGCAATTGGCTTGTAAGCAGTGTGTTTTTCTCTTCACACATTGTTTGTTCATGCTAAAGTAGATGCCAGTTATCATGTTGGGAGGGCACATTAGGCCACACATGGGGGAGGTTCATGTGATAAGGACCTAAAGCCTTTTGCCATCACACAGCACAAGCTGACTGACAAGTTGGTCTAGATGCCTGACTGCAACCCTGGCCCATTCATGTCAATGATCATGACAGACCTCACTGAATCATGCCAGATTCTTGACCAACAAAAGCTATGGAAATAATAAATATTCATTTTAAGACACTAATTTTTCTAGAAAACTCATATATCAATCAAGAGTGGACTGGAATATAACAGAATAACTGTGTCTGAATTGTCACAAAAGCTGAATGGTGAAGATGAGAAGTATGAGCTAGAGTTTAATGAGTTGGTAAGAATTTATTGCAAGACGTCCTATGCAAAGGAGGTGGCTGTGTGCACAAACACATGGACGTGTGCCACAGCCAACACACTTAAAAAATTGCACAATACTGGATGAGAGACAAGTCACACAGCTCAAAATGAACATGATTTTGAGAAATTTATCATGTTATAATGTAACAGCTGCTGTTCATATAGTGAGTATGATCCAAATGAATTGTTTTAGAAGAGAGGAAATTGATCAAAACATTGTTTGAAATGTTTATTTGCCTAGATACAGGGAGGAGGGGCTTGGTCTTGCCTTGAAGTAAAGTGTTAGACTTTGTTGACTTCCCATGGGAAGTCTTGCCCTTTCTGGCAAGTGGAGAGTGAGGTTGAGAGAAGGGGATGTGGGAGGAGAGGAGGGACTGGGAACAGGGATAGCTATGTAAAATGAGAAAATATTGTATTAAAAAAATCTTAATAAAAAGATAGAACACTTATGTAGCTTCATACACAAACCTGCCCAGTCACTAAATTATACCTTGAGAAAGACAAATCAAGTTTGCCTACATTCTATTTTGTTCTATTGTCTTGGGGCAACCAAAATGTTACCTTTTCAATGAGGCAGTTAATGTTATACTAATATATTTTCCTAGCATCAAAATACATATTATTTTGACTTGCCCTTATGAAAATAAAGGATTTTAAAGAGAAAAAAAAAAACCATAGAGTGCTATCATATAAGGAGTCAGGGCTATTCAAAGCAGCCACTTTTCTCTGGCACTTCACTGTCTGGGTATATGTTTTGAAAACTTTTGCTTAATGTAGAGCCAAGAAAATAACTAATGAGGAACACCTGGGTTTTCCCTGGGACTTCACTGCTGCAGTTCTGCTACAACAATCAGGTAGAAATTAATATTTCATAACCAATTAGATGATTTCCTATGTATCATGTTACTCAGCTGAGATTTCAGGAATAGAATTGCCCATATCAACTTGTTATTCGATGCTATACCTCATTCATTGACTGACTATTGAGTGCTACCTATGTATTTTCCACAGTGATAGACTCATAAGCCTATTTTGGCATTTACAGAAATCTCTAGGTATCTAGTTTCAAGTTTATAGTTCTAATAGATAATAGCAATTCATGATGAAATAAATAAATAAGAAATCTGTGTAGGTCTGGAGAAATGGCTCTACATTTTAAAAACTCTATTTGCTCTTCCAGAAGATTCAAGTTCAGTTCCTTCCTAGCATCCATACACGATGGCTCACAATTGCCTATAACTCCAGCTCCAGAGGATGTG